CTCATTTGGTTTCCTCTCATTATTCCTCGGATTGCGAGGGGGGCATGTGTATTTTCCCCATTCAAACAAACTAAAAGGCTGTGTTTGTTTGAACACCATTCTTGTACTTCCTGGCAAGCTTTGGACTGGAAGGAAGGGTCAGGTTTTTAGGCTTAAAGGGGCTGAAAAACTTTAAAGTAATAATTGAAGCCAACTTTGTCTGTGCGCACTTTCCTCTTCCCCCCCCTCCAGCTGAAAAACCTCGCTCGCCGACGCAGTGGCTGCTGTCTGCTGCTGTTTCAACAGGAGGCCTGGATTTCAGGGCAAGATCCAGGACATAGGGGGGACTTGATGGCTCGGGGATTTAGTAATGGGATTTGGAGCCCTTCATTTCTAGGTCACTGGTTTGAACAGAGCCCAGTCAGTAATGACTGAAAGTTGTTACCACCCGATGTCGGCTCTGCCCGCACTGATCTGAGGTGGCCCGCCGCTCTGTCCCCCAGTGCCCAGGGCACATCTGCCCTAATGGCACTCATTGACAAGTCGGCTGTTAGGACTTAGGCCTACATGTGACGGGGGCCACCTCTGCCATGTGCAGAAACTGTCCACGGCTCTGCCTGGGCTGCCTCTTCAGGGGGTGATGCCAGGAAGAGAGAGCGATAAAGCTAGTTTGCCTTTCAGAGGGTCTGGGCCCTGATTCATCTGTCCCTGTGACAGTGGGCATCGTGTCTTCAGCCACTCGAAAGGTGAGTCAGGGGGATTGACAGGCAGAGAGGACCAACTTTTTAGATACTTCCCATGTGTGTGTTCTGAAGGCAGATTTAAAAGATCTGAATGGGGAGCTGTGTTTTGTTTTTGTTTTTCCATTTCTAATGCAAGATAATCATGGCCCTTTTCAAATAATACATTTTTGGGTCCCAAATTTGTGCTTGCTGAAGTCTGGGGGGAAAGGAGCTATTTCCTGGGCTTACACTAGCAGAGGGTGTGGAAAAGAAATTACTGCTTTATTCCTCCTTTTTGCTCTATATGAAGAGAAATGCTTGCTGCAGGAGAGTGGAGAGAGGAGCGGAGACTGGAGAAATTCAAGGGTGATACATTTGTCGTCTCTGTGGCGCCCTTCAGCCACAGCCCCTGTCTCTGCTCTCAGGGCGGACTTGCTGTGAAGCTCTCTGATTTAGGGAAGGGAGGAGCCAGCTTCTTGGTGGGCAGGAGGCTGCTGGAAAGGGGCCGAAGCCTTTACAGAGCTGCCCATCAGTTCCTGAGCGCAGGGCTGCCATCCACACCTGCCTGGCTGTCAGCCTCTCCAGGGGTACAGCTCCCCTTTCCTGGGTGGAGGTGAAGCCCACTCCTGAGAAAGAATCACATATTCCAATCACATAAAGAACCATTTATATCAGACCTATTTAGAGTTCCTTTTCAGAAATGTGGGTTTTTAATAGCATTGATTTTTAGTAATAGACAAATTACAGGGGCTGACCACATTGCTAAGGTACTGGGTGAGAAGTTTTAAGTTGAGAGTTCCCTTAACAAGGGCAACGGAAAACACAGCATGCTGTTCCCATTTGTTTCTGATTTAGTACTTCCGTCTCGACTTTCATTCCTCCTGGACAGCCCCTGTTTGCTTGTTTTCTGGGGATTTTTTTGGTTTTATTTTTTATTTTGCCCCCCGGACTTTTGCCTGCTTTTATTCTTTCATTTTCTTATTTTCTTTAGGAAAAATTGTCTTCTACATTTTTCCCCCCTGGGAAAATGTGAAAAAGCACTGTGGCCGATGAAAGAAATTTTATTTATTTTATTTATTTCACCACTCTGATCCTTCAGGCCTCCAAGCTCTATTCCGGTCTTTGAGAGCAGTAAGACAGTAAAGGTGGTTTCCCAGAAGGTCCCAGCACTCAGCAGGCACAGTCCCCACTTCCCACACCACCTGCAGGGCCTCAGCTTGTGGTTCTTTGTATGCTATCCATTTTCTGCCTCTTTTTTAAAAAAGAATCCAACCAGTAACTGATTTTGTCATTCTGAGAATCATAGAATTGTAGAGTTTAAATGGAAACCTAAATGCCAGCTTCACCAACTTCTTTCAAGATAGAGACTTGAGTTCTGCTTGAACACCCCCTTTTTGAAAAAACTGGATTTATTGGGTAGTTACATTTTGAAGAGGAGTTTTCTCCTGTTGCAAGCACCCTATTCCATATTTGTTTAACATCTCACACAAGTCAGGAAATGTGTCCATAGTAGTAAAAAAAATTGCCTTATGGAGTTTGGAATCAAGCGAGGTGTAGCACCCCAAAATATGGCACTCTTGTATACTGATTATCTTGAGCTCTAGGCACTTAAAAAACAGCAAATGCAGACAGGGGCTTCCTCTGAACTTCCCTTACATGTCTAAAGATACATCTTCCTAAAGGACCTCGGTTCTCATAAATCCCCTCCTCAAGAGTTTAGTCAACCAGGAAAGATTGACTCTTGTCACAGGAAGGAGACTCGAACTCAGTACCACACCCAGACAAACTTTGTCACAAACTATCATACCTCCCATCTATTCTTCTAAAGGACCATTCATTCTTCCTAAAAATCATTTACTGTCACCTCAGAAGCCTACATCCCTCCTCCCTCTTCCAAATGAAGGTGGTATGTAAGCCTGAATTCTAAGCCACCTGTCATCTCAGAGCTTACTTTTTCCCCCTGGGTATCTCTCATGTGTACATGACATATACATGTTAATATACTTGTGTGTTTTTCTCTTGTCTGTTTGTCTTTTATTACAGGGGTCTCAGCCAAGAACTCAGAAGTTCAGAGGAAAAATTTTTGTTTCTCTTCAACACAATGATAGAAGAATCAACAAATAATTGCAAAAGTATTAAATGTTGATCAACTTCGTCTGTTACCATCTTTCCAAGGCTGAAACAAAACTCACATGCCATTAACATTTACTCATGTCCTCACCTGCCTGCTGAAAGTTTACAAGGAATTTTTTTTTTTTTTACACCATGGCTCTTAGGGACAGTAAATGATTTACTGCACACTCCAGAGATCCTATTTCTTTAACTCCCACAGCCCTGAGACATTGACAGGAGTTGGCTACTCCACAGATGCCTAGATCTATCAGGGATGTCAGCTTCGGCCAAGGTGGTGGCAATTTAGACCTAGAGGAAGAAATTGTGCAGCGGAAGTTGCAGTGACTGTTGGCACCCCAAACTCTCACTTCCAGATTTTGAAGAATAAATGAGATCAACTTTGCAAGATTTCAAATGAGATAAGAAATGCTATGGCTCAAGTTTCCTCCACCCACGTTTTTGTTTTGTTTGTTTGGTATCTTTTTCCGCTCTACATCTTTAAATTGCTGTGAAATCTCTGATTTTGCAAGATTTTCTTATAAAAAAAAATTTAGCATAAAACATAAGAATTTGTAGCACTGGAAATGTACCAAAAACTCACAAAAGTGATTAAGTGATGACCTATAGGAAACAGTATTAAAAAGAACTTATCAATGTGTAAATTTTTTATTGATTTTTGAATCACTGAAGGTATTAACTATTCACAAATGGCTTAACATTTTTAAACAATGTTAAGATTGTTACCACTGCTTTAATAATGATAAGAACTAAAACAAAACAAAAAAATAAAAGAAAAAAAATTTTTTTCTCAGCCTTGAATTTGGAAAGGGTATAACAATATCCTCCAAAGAGATTGCAGAACTTTTAAGCGTTGCTTATTATATTCAACCCAAACAGCTCCCTGGGCAAGCAAAATTAATTATACAGTCTGTAGTCAAAACCGTGAAGGAAAGAAGCAAAAATGTTTTTTTAAAAAAACAAAAAGCAACCTATGATTCTGCAAGGTGAGAAACTTCTGGATTCTCAGACCTGCTTCCCTGTACTAAGGATATAGGTCTTGGGAGGAACAGGTTCGAGAAGAAAAGGTCCTTTTACCCATCTTCCCTCTTTGCTTTTCCTATAACTTGGCAGGGGATTCGAGAAGTGGAATTAGAATTCTGTATGCCTTTTTCAGATTTTATTTTTCATAATGTCAGACACTTAAGGCTAAGTGTGTGACAAATAAAACTTTTCACATATGTTGTGGTGGCCAATAATAAGACACTGGTGTTACACAGTCCTGAGTTCTACTCCTGCTTTGTCACTTACAAAACAAGTTGTTTAACTTTTTTTTGCCTCAGTTTCTTCATTTACCAAATAGCATAATGTCAGATTCTATACATCAGGGTTGTTAAGTAAATAAAATGATATATTATAGGTCCCTTAGCAAAATGTTTGCCACATACTAGGTGCTCAATAAGCATCAACTATTATTTTTATTACTTCTCAGAATTATAATAGTAATTATTATCACAGTATCGTTATATATCAGTATAGTAATTCTGAACACCTCAAGTTATAATTCTTCTATGATACCTTATAAAGTCAGGCTCCGTCCTTTTTTCTGCTCGACACTCATCCCTTGGCTTTGGCTAGCAGCATCACCGCTCATTCACTCTCGATCCGTAGAGTCCTGTGGTGGTGCGCACAGCGCCCAACTGCAGATGTTTACTCAGAACCAGGACTGGCTAATCGGCAGAGTTCCATGCTCTGGCAACAATAATTGATCCAAAGATAAGCATGAAACCTAAATCTGGCCAATAGGATTTAATTCTGGGGCTTTTAAAACTTTTGTTAGTTTTCTTTGCCTTTCCCCTGGACTTTATATTAAGCAGTTCTAAGTCTGAGGTTGCTGGGTGCCACCAGGAGGTTATCGTTCATAGATTTGGGCCACTGGGAATCCCACCTAGAGGATACTCCTGCTCTCCTGTTGTGCCTTTCCCTAAGAAGCCAAGGAGATGTGCCCTCCTAAGGCCCACATCTTGCCTTTCTGTACCATGCTCTTCGGGGAATGGGGAAAGGAGTTCAGGACGGAGGCCTTATTTGTCAGGTGCTGCAACTCGATTTTGAAGACCCTGCAAATGTCTGGAACACATCTAGGGACACCACTTGTGGAAAGTGTTCCTGAGAGTAAAACCAACAAAGAGAAAAGCAGAGTTCTGATGAGCTGTTTTGAATCCTGGACCCAGTTGTATGTGAAGCAAGACTGGCCCTTGGACTTTTGAGCTCCTGAATCAGTAAGTGAATTTGGGTGTATATTCTTTCATTTGTAATTGAGACAGTTCTATCTTGAAATATTTTTTCCTTGCCCTCTTTCCTACATTGATATTCCTTAATCTGCATTTGTACATCACTTATGATATTCTGAAATTTATCATGTTCTCTATTTATTGAATTACAGTAGTTTTTTTCTTTTTAACTAGATTTCTGAGGACATTTGCAATCTATGCAAGAGGATACGGTTTGAACTCACTCTGATGTGACTTACTGTGTGACCATGAATAAGGTAGTTAACCTCTCTGATCTTCTGTTTCTTCATCTGTAAAATAGAAATAAGGCTATTTAAAGTTCTAGGATTGCTACAGACATTACATTAGATAATGAATAAATATCTTAGTACACACTAGGTATTCAGTAAATAACTATCATTTTTTGAGGATAAAGTGTATAGAAGTTAAGTTCTAACTCTTGCTGAAACTAATAGAAACCTAACTTAACTAACTTAAGCAATAGGGTCTTTTTGTATTTGTAACAGCACTGGAGTATTGCTTGGAGAAGGGCATAGCTAAGCCTGATAAGTTGGTGGCAGGGACTCAAAAACTACTTCTCTGTCCTTTACTGATTTCAACTCCTTATGCCATTCTTCCCTCTGGCTGCAGCCTGGCTTTTTCCATTCTTATGCCTATAGTGAAGTACAAGATCATCAACAGGCCATTGATGTTTGCATTTCCCGTTGTAAGGGAGCATTTAAACTGAGCTGGGATTTCTCATTCTTATCTCAAATTCCTAGGAAAGACTCTGATTTCCTTAACTTATACCAATCAAATGTGTCCTAGGCAACAGGCAAACATCATATCGATGTTTCCACAGTGAGGGGAAGGAGAATTCCCCAAATATAAGAGGGCAGGATTCCATTAAGGAGAGGTAGCAGGCTAGCAAAGTAATTGGCATTTGACTATAGGATTAGTGTTGTTGTTGTTTTTTTAAATTATTCTGAATCCTCTTCTTTATGAACAAAATGTTGAATGAATGTTAGTGTACCATAAATATATGACCAATTATTTCCTCCGTTGAACCTCTAGAATGGACCCACAAAAGAGGAGCTGAATGGCTTTCTATTATTACATACTGCGGGGGGGGGG